CAAATAAACATGAAGCTAATGAATGACAATAAATAAAAAGGGATCATATAAGAACAATTGTTTGATAAAAAAGTAAAAATAAATCTCATTCATATAAAACGTTTGTGAAATGATAAACTTAACTATTTAAATAAATTTCTGCCTGAAGCGCGGATACTATACAAAAAGGTCAATAATAACATGCATCATGTTTGCTCATCTTAAACAAATTCAGTGTAAAATTCACATAGTCTTCGTACACTTCATTTGAAAAGTTTTAATTCTGTGTAATCTCAGTAATAAAATTCGAAATGCAGTAACTATTATGTACTATGCAAATGATATTTAATAATTTATTTATGTTCTCTACATTAAATATATATTCACTACTCAGACCGCTTATCATCAGTGTAGATGGCAAAATGTTGACTGCTAATTTCATGAAGAATTAAAACACAAATCACTAACCTCAATATTAAAAAACGGTACAACATAAACAAAATAATTATAAATACAATACACAAACCTTCCGCACGTAGCGCGGATAACCACTAGTAGAAAATAAAGTCAAATCTAGGATGACAGTATCTTATTTGTTCACCACCTAAATGAGAATTAAATAATATTCACTTTTGGTTAGAATATGCTATTTAAAAAAAAAAGATATATTAGAACCATATGACATTATTTGTATTAACTTGTCTGCTAAGTAAATGTTATGATTCAGGTTTTATCATAATTTTATGTAATGTTTTATTGAGTTATTTGTGTTTCCTACGAATAAAAGCTCAAGAAAATAAACTATACATCGCTTTTTATTATAAGTTTATGATACTTTGTTTGTTGTATCACCAAATGTAGAGGTGATGTAAGCGCTTCTGAACTCATACATGCATGAAATTCGTATATACGATCATTCCATTTATCAAAAGGAATATCATCGAAAGTGAATACCGTGACTTTTGAAACAAAGTGCTTTGTTATCGGTATTTCTGGGCTAGGCGGCATGAAATCCATATCTTCATCACTTGAATAGACTTCATTGATACTTGGTTCTTTTTTCGGAGTGTGCGAACCTTCTCCAATCACAAATTGTCTTGGCAGAGATTCTTCATAGGACTCGATCTCATAGTCACTTGAACTTTAATCTGAGAGATGATCAATTTTGGCAATAGATTTTGTAGTCGAGGACTGTGTATTTTCTTAGATTTTTATGATTGATCAGATATCTCAGGGCCTTTTCCAAGAGTGTTGAGTAGGCTGGTCATTAAAAACTTGATTATTCCAATGTCCTTTCCATTTTCTTTGTTCTTCTTATCATCAACAGACTCGTGGCTTGAGGATGATATGAGAACATGTCTTTTATTCGGACTGGCTTGGAAATCCGACTCCTTTTGTCTTTGAGGCTTTGAACGTGTTTGTTTCTGCTGTGGATAAATAATGGATGTTGATCCATAACGAGATGTGAAGATTTCGTCGGAGGAGAGGAAGCCAGGTAGTGGAGTTTTAGCCTTTTGAGCTTGATTTACGGAGAGGAATCCAGGGGAATAGGATCCTTGGTATGTAGGCATTCCTGGTGGTATGTATCCAAGCGGATCGAAGTCATGCTTTCGAGGCTTCTTTGGAGATCTTTTAGTTGATTTTTTAGACTAGCCGTCTCTGCTTCATTGTTGCAGAATTGGGTAATGTTTACCATCATGTTATGCGCCTAGCCATCATTTCGTGATGAAGATTGTTGAGTCTTCCATATATTTCTGTTGTGGAGATTTGAAGGATGTGTAACCTTTTGTTGTAATTTTCTGTCAATTTATCAACTTTATCATTGATTGTGGATAAAAGTTGATTTTGAGCAAGAGCATTTTCCGTTTGCCAGTTGAGAACCTTTTCAGCTTGACTTAGCTGGTCAGGGCCGGAAGAGTTGATGGTGTAAGGATGTCCAAATTCTTCTTAGAAAGGATAAAAAAATTCACCATCACGCTCAAAGAAAGCTGGTGTAAGGATTTGTGGCCTTTTGGGATTTCGTCGTTTCGTTTCTCTATTTGTATTGCAAATTGAGTGAACAATTCCTTTCGAAATGATGATGACCTTGGTTTCTAAAACTTGACCTCTGTTGTTCCATCGTTTCGTGATCGGAAAGTGACGTCTGATGATTGAATATTAGACTGTGTAGCTTGATGAAACTTTTCATAGCTCGTTATCCATGATTTCGGTAGCTAGCGTAATAACTCTTCACGAGTTATTTATTGAGGAATCTGTATTGAGTTAGGAACTTGGGACGCTGATGTGACTTCGAGGTATAATGCTTCATCAGAGGAGGGTATAACGAGGTCAAGAGCATGATCTTGAATCTGATAGACGATTTGGTGGTGCAGTGTTGCTATCACACTCTTTTCTTGCATCGGTGCTCCAACCAGTTGAAGCTGAACTTTGAGTGTCTTCAAAAGATTTGGGTTTTGTAGTGAAACATTAAATTTTGGAAACAGTGTTATAAATACTGTCCGGCATTTAATGTTGTCTGAACAGTTCCGATGGACACTCGTTGGTATGATTTTAATCGTGAATGGATTAAAGCTATACGAGCGACGAATGGTAGACCTTTTATGACGTGTAAGGTTAAACCAAGTCTCACAACTCCAAAGTGGAGGTGAGTATAGCCTTGTTGCTGCCACATATTGGGTAGATTCGCCGGGATGTTGATAGAGATGAATTGGTCTTCTTCAGTTGTTGGAACTTGTTAGGATGAGAACTTGATGGATTGGACGTACCATGACCTTTCGGCTTGAAGATGGTGATATGAGCTCATGAACTCTTTTAAGAGAGAAGGCGCTGGATTTTTGGGAAAAGTATTCATAAAGATTTATTAAAGGTAGGATGGTTTCTGGTAATTTATCTCATGAAATATATTCAATTTCATATAATGAGTTAATATTAGAAGATGAAGAAGAAATACGACTTGTAGATTTATAAAGAGTAGATATAGCAAATTGGGAATCGAGTGTTTGACGAGCTGAAATAGGCATTGTAAAGAAGTGTTTTCAGAATTCTTAAAACAATCAATCATAAACAGAGATTCCGTCAACCATTACGTAAATCTGAACAGTAGGCTTTGATACCATTTTACATATATAACGGTGGGCCACAAAATCTCTCTTATGAGACTCCAAAAATAATGCAAATTAATTTCTTTTAAGCATATATTTTTAAGAGATACTCATAGATAGCAGTAGATCAATTTTTTGTTCAAGAATTAGCACAAGAAGTAAATTCATCAAAATATATAACATTATAAAATGTTCAAAATACATATTGTTTTTGTTTTTGGATTTAGTGATTAGAATATAGGGATTAGTACTTCTAAGATGGGATTAAAGTTTAGAATATAAGAAAATATAATTGGTAAAAAAAAGAAAAAAAAGTAATATTAATGTTTTTGTAGTTTAATATTTTTTTGACTAGTAAATATTAGTTTAAGTTATTTTTAAGGTTATTTTCTAACCTAGAGATTTACGGCTAATATCAAAATTTTCCTACCACATGCATGGATCAGTTCAGTAATATGCAATGTGAGAGAGAGAAAAGAAAAAAAAAAGGTCCAACAGAAAGTTTAGAAATTAGTTAATAATCTGAAACCCTCTATATTTTTTATAGGGCAATTTTTTTTAAATAATCCTCTTTTAAGTTTTTATCACAAAAATCGACCTCAAAAATTAAAATAACCAAAATAGCATTTTTTATTTTGAAAATTTTAATTTTTTTTTTAATTTTTTAAAATTTGAAACTCTATCCCCAAAATCCTACTCCTCAATTCTAAACAAAAAAGTATAGGATTAGTTAACCCAATGGGTAAAATGTATATTTAATAAAACATTTAAGTGCTATTTTGGTCGTTTTAATTGTTAAGGTCTATATTTGTGACAAAAAAATTTTTAGGTTTATTCTAGTCATTTTCTCTTCTTTATATTTATATACAATCATGCAGAACTTGTTACAAAAAAAAAATACAATCATGCCGAACTAGCAGGTAATTAATTACTCGTTTGATGTCAAAGCAAAATACAGGTAAATATTTTGCCTAGGGTTGGGTATTTTATCCGTTATATTTGATTTGATTCGTTATTAGTTTTGATTCGATCCAAAAATCTTGGATATTCGTAAACTTTCGAATCAAAACAAATACTAAAATTAAATATCCACTAAAATCGAAGCAAATCAGAAATATTAAAATTTTGGGAAGCGGATATCCGATCCGATCCAAAAATATATATATGTATATCTTGATTATATTTAAAATTTTAAATGTATAAAGTTATATAATTATTATTCTAGCATATGATTTTGAACAATTCTATTCACATTATTATTTATATAAAAGTATTATGACAATTATATTTTTTTCTTAAATTTTGTGTTACTATAATTGTAACTTAAACTTAAAAAATTACAAAATATGTAAATTCACTAGTTCTTTTAGTTTTTATTTTATATATTATGCAAAAAAATATTTTTGCAAAGGAAATTTTGTATCAAAATCTTAAGATTATTTGTATTAGTCAAAATGGATGAGATATCCATAAATATTAATATCCGCAAATATCTATTTATTTTCCGGATATCCGTATTTTTTTGAAGCAACGCAAATACCAAAATTAGATATCCGTAAAATTCGAAGCAAATCACAAATACCTTAAAAATCCCGGATATCTGATCCGTGCCTACTCCTAATTCTGCCCTTGCAAATATACATTCAGTCGTACTGTATAGTTTTTTTTTAACATCAAAGGTCTGTTCGTTTCGTTGACGCAGAAGTGGCGGCTGCGGCTGCGTCAATCTTTTTTGAGAATCTTGTTCGTTTGTTTGACGCGGTGACCTGCGTCTAGACGCTGCATCAGGACGCTGCGGCTGGCGTCTACAAATTCTGGACGCCGAATAAATCGGCGGTTGACTCCAAAAATCTTCGTCTGTTTACATTATTTATGTTTTTGCCCTTAATATATCTTATTATTTACAAAAATAAACTAACCCTATTGACGCAGCCCCATCTCAGAAAGAGGAATAGACGCAAGCATCTCATCTCTCGAAGCTCTCTCTTCTCCATGGCATCTCATCTCAAAACTCTCTCTTCTCCATAGACAGATCTCAAAGCTCTCTCTTCTCCATAGCATCTCGAAGCTCTCTCCATAGACAGAGCTCGAAGCTCTCTCCATAGACAGAGCTCGAAGCTCTCTCTTCTCCATAGCATCTCGAAGCTCTCTCCATAGACAGTGCTCGAAGCTCTCTCTTCTCCATAGCATCTTGAAGCTCTCTATTCTCCATAGACAGAGCTCGACGAAGCTCTCAAGTTCAGACCCTTTCAAGCTCAGACCCTCTCAAGCTCACACTCTCTCGACGACCCTCTCAAGCTCACTATCTCGATCCTCTCAAGTTCAGACCTTCATTGCGTATTGCCTTTGCCTCCCCTCTGATTTCGTTTTATTCCTCGGAAGTCAGTGCTTAGGATTTAGGAGATGCTCTGTGACGATTGTTTATGTTTGTGCTATGATATATTTGTGTGTACATGGAGTCATAGATTGGTTTTGTTACATTACACGTTTATCTGTTTCATTACACATTTTGCCTTGATAGTGTTTCTTGGTTCTTGAACTTAACAGCACTAAGCAAAATAGCTTAACGTAGTATCTTCTTTGTGGTTAAAGGATTGAATATCTTAGCGTGTGGAGTTGAATATTCAAAGTGTTTCACTTTTTTTTTCACATTAAAACTCTGTTTCTGTTAAATCTGGACAGTCTTATTTGCTATGAACCTTACTCTTATGAAATTGCTTCTTACTCTTGTGTCTTGATTAGTTGATTTGGTAATGATCTTTTTTGGTTCTCTGTGGTTGAAGGATTAATGAATGTCTTAAGGTTTTGAAGTAGGTTTCAGCGAAACAAACTCTTTAAAAATGGTTCAAGACACAACTGCAATTTAAGAGTTAACTTTGATCACTTCCACACGTTAGTTATGTTTAAAAATAAATATGTTAAGAGGTGTAGAAGCCTAAGGAAGATTGGTGCTGCGAGGGAGTTGTTTGGTAAAGTAGAGAAGAGAGATTGTGTTATATGGAATGTGATGCTTAATGGGTTTGCGAAATGTGGGGATTTAGATAGTGGAATGAGGATGGATGGGATTCGTCCTAATGCTGTCACTTTTGATTGTGTTTTATCTTTGTGTGCCTATAAGTCGTTGATTGATCTTGGAGTTCAGGTTCATTCTCTAGCGGTTGTTTCTGGTTTGGAATTTGAAGGCTCTATTAAAAACTCGTAACTAATGTGTGGAACAATGGTTAATTGGTTTCTTGGTTCACATATAATGTTAATACAGCCTTGTTTAAGAGTTATAAAATAGAGTTAACCCAGTTAGCGAGATCTTTGTCTTACTATATACAGTAGTTAAATGGTTCTGGCTTCTAAATGCTTATTCTTTCCCTCTTTTTTTGCAGGTATCAAGCTCTCTTATCTCAAGCTCAGATCTTCTCAAGCTCAGACCCTCTCAAGCTCAGATCAGAGGCGGACCTACCCTTTAAGTGGGTCTGGCACGTGCCACATACTAACTTATAGAAATTTTTATATACTAGGTAGAGATAGGAACTGCCAGCTCTGATGGTTTAAAGACATTAGGATGTTCACCCATGTTCGAACGTGAATGTTTCCCTTCACTGTTTATACATTTTAGTGACATCCTTACAACACAAATTTTTATTTCTTCTTTGTTTTTTGCTATCTAATAGAAATGATTTGTTTTCCCTCTTGTACTTTAATGTTAGTCATTACCTTTTAAAATATATAAAGTAGTTTATTTAAGTTTCAGTTCAACAATTATTTTTATGAAATTTATTTTTATGCTTATAATAAATATCAAATTAAAAGTATTTAACAAAACAAATATCTATTTATCTTATTAATTAGTTTAATAAAGTTTTTCAAATATTTTATAAAATATTCTTTAAAAAATATATATAATGTGATAAAAATCTCTATAATATTATTTGAGAAGTCAGTTTCTTATGTGTCGCGCTCATGTTGACTCTTACACTGGTTGATTACTATGATACCCTTGTGATTTAAAACTTTATTTTATTTATTTAAGATTTGATGTATTAATTAGTTTTTGTTTTGTGTTAAATACTTTGATATATTATTTGTGGTTTAAGATTTTGTGGTTTAAAACTTTATTTTATTTATAATTTTTATGATAAATAAATGTTGTTAAATTAGTATATTTGCCTAAAAAATTATTACCAATTAAATAAAATATTTTGATAGATTTAAAATATATTTAAACAGCATTTTCTATATTTAAAATATAATTTTACAAATTTTTAAAATTAAAATATGAATTAATATATGAATTAAATGAAAATAAAATTTCTTGCGGCTGCGTCTGTCAAACGAACAGCATAAATCATTTTTCTGCGTCTGCGTCATGCGTCTGCGTCAATGTCTTACGTCTATGAAACGAACATAACACTGCGGCTGCGTCTGAGACTGCGGCTGCTAAACAAACAACAAACAAATGAACAGACGCAGCCGCAGACTCAGCCGTAGAAACCTGCGGTAACCAAACGAACATGGCTATTGTGTGACTAATGAGAGAGACGAGGTTACGAGAAGGCCCACTTGAGTGGAAAGAACGTTCACGCCATGAGACATTGACTCATGCCTCATCTTATGGGCCCACAGCCCATAGTAAAGCAATTCAAACGGGACCCACAGTTAGCTTTTTGGCCACCCTTCACGTGATCCCGCGTGATTGTTATTTTGCCTAACCCCTCCTTTCAGGGTTACTATTCGTCGTTTTGTCCATCTTGCTCACTCTTTATATGAAAAGTGAAAGAGTCGGTTTGTTGTAATATTTCAAAATAAAATATCGCAAAGTTTGAATTATATAACCATATTTACTAGTTTAATTTGGTTTAAGCAAGTTGTTCAACTTGTTTTGGCTTTTTAATACCGATATGAAATGCATGTAAGAAAATAAGAACGTCTCCCTCAATTCGGCCTTTTCTTGCCTTAGTTTAGTTGAACCTAGTTTGGTTTTGCTTCTCTGTTGCTTAGGTGTGATTGATTTGGTGAGACTAGGGACTAGGGACTAGGGTCAGTTAATCTAACACACCATCCTTCAAACACTCAGCGACAACCATCTTCAGCTGCAGCATATTTCGTCTCGCAGACTGTTGAACAGACCATTTAAGATATTACTTGAAAATGGTGATATAATACTTAGAAAATTCGATTCTTAAGAGCAGAACAAGACTCACCTCGTTGACATAATTGATTCTTTTTGTTGCATTGTCCAGCTTTGTCTCGATCCCTCCTTCAAAATGTGCCATGAGTTTTTGGTGTGATGTTCCTGTAAACAAAGATATATATACATAAACCTTAAGTGCGCTTAGGCAAGCTTTGTCCTCCTGAAATTTCAATAGTCTCCTGCCAAAAGGAATCTAACTTTGTAGGTTTCATAGCAGTTGCAGTGTTATCTGATTCGTTGTAGTGAAAAGCAAGAATTACAGAAGTGAACATACTTTGCTTCTTTATGGTTCCTTTTAACTCTGAATGGTTTGCTTCAAGCCCTTTAATAGTACTCTGTAAATCTTCCAGATGTTGACCGACATCGTCCTTTAACTTTTCATGGATCATTCTCATTTTTTCTTGTTCCTCTGTAGTACGATCAGATTATCAGTGAACGCACTAGCAGGAGTGATCTTGCATATTCTTATTCATCATGTAGACATATGAAGACAAATTCAATACTCTCAAGACAAAACACGCAAGTCTATGTTCCTATTCTCATTATAGGAACTGAGCATGTAGCTTTGTCTTAAGGAACTATGTTAATAAGTTTCGTGTCAATATGAGAACCTAAAGCAAGTTATGTACATCATCTATCACTGAAAAATTAGGAGCAGACAGGACGATGATGTGTTTCTCTTCAAGCAGAAAAGACGGTACTAGAATGAAGCAAGATTGTTAGTACTTCAAGAGTATAAGCGCAAGACTTGATATCAACCCTGAATCAGGACTAGACTACCAAGATACAGTGATCAAGATATGGTGCAATGCTGTACCTTGTAATCTTGTTTCAGCATGCTTTCGCTTAGTTTTGGCTACATTACTCGTCTTTACCCTGTAGCATAATTAACAATATGATTGATTGAATACTCAAAAAGAGCAATGCAGAATCAGTTGAAGAAACATACGCTTCTGTTATGATGTGAGACTTGACATTCTCCAACTCTAGATGAATCTCCTCGGAGACTGATGCTATAATTTCTGATGACTTCTTTTTAGCTGCATATTTCAGTTTCTTCTCGAAGTTTTGGAGAGCCACAGCAAACAACGCAACAGCCCTGAGACATGGTAAGTAATCAAATCAAGACAGGAGAGAAGCTACAATGTAGAAACGTAACATAAGTTAAATCAACAAGAGACCTTCCCAAGCCTTCATCTTCCTCCATCTCTGAAAATTGCTGGAAGGAATTGATTTTACGGATCCCTGCTCAGTTCCCAGGACAAAACAAATGAGGCTGTAGTATCCACAACAATGACAAACAAATGAATATTATACCTTTGGACAAAGACGAGGTAGGACCCAACACGACACGTCCATTGTCCTTAGGGTTAGAGTTCCTTTTAGCTGAGCTAAAGCCTGGCTTAGATTTCTCGCTATTCCAGTGAACAGTTTCTCTTTCTTCAGGACCTGAATCAGAAGATCAATAAAGTAAGTAAAACATGGATTCTGTTAAGAAGAAAATAAGATCATCCATTTTGTACATGGTCTAGGGTAAAAAATAATAAGAAGCTTACTGTTGCAGTGGCCCAACGCAGGCGAGTCTTCTCTTGATTTATCTGAACCTTCCTCATCAGACGATGGATCTGAGAGAACTAAATCTTCAGTTGGCTCACCAGAGCTCTCTCTTCGGAAAGAATAATCTCCTTTCTTGTCCAAGAAGTCCTGAAAATAAACAAGGAAACACAATGGTCGAAGAGGAATATGTAAAGTAAGGCATGCCTAGTGTTTAAGTGAAAATAAAGCAACTTGAGTGTATGAAGGTTACAGGTAATCTCTTCTCGGTATCTGACGCTTGGCCTTTTGTCCTTTGGAAGGTTTTGTTAGCACCGAAGCTAAGAATTGGTGTTTCAGTCTCATCAAAAGCGAGATTAATATTCCTAGGATGAAAAGGAGAAGCTTCGGGAGACCAACAGGGGTAAGGGGTTGAGATTGGTGCTTTATATCCAAACGTTGGACTCTGCAACTCGTTTTCTGGCTCTACAGACCTTTCCCTGAGAACTTTACTCAACCTTTCCTGTTCATCTCCATTTTTAGATAATCCATGGAACATCTCACGCGTAGCTGCTGTTTCTGCTTCTCGCAGTGAATGAAAATCTTTTTCCCTTGTGATAATATCTGGTTTCTGTTTCCTGGCTTTGGTCTGTTGTTGAAGATGAAGGGAACTTCCCTTTTTGTCTGATAATGAAGACCTTTTGCCAGTTCTCTTTCTTTTAGCGTCACTCTTTTCACGAGACTGAACCTTGCGGCATGTTACAACAGTACTTTTTCTCCCACCCCTTTGTTTCTTCGGCATAAAACTGGCGGTGCCAGTCTTCCCGCTCAAACCTTCTTCAAAGGAGAATATCTTGTATACTTGTTCTGCGCTTTTGCCACCTGATTTGGCTCTCTTCTGAACACCTTTCTCTCCTACACTTCTCTGCAACAAAGATCTAGTTACTGGTCTTCTGGCTGCATTTTCATGGCTTTCAGGACTAGTTTCAATAAAATCTGAATTGTGTCTAGGCTTCGTAAGAGGATCATTGTTAGAACCCTTGTCTTGACTCAACTTGAACTTGGTCTTAACCACTTCAGGGGTCTCAGAGTTGACATCTTCATTATTTGCTCTCGAAGATTTCCCCAATGTTTCCCACAGCTTTGATCTCAAAACAGCAGTACTTCCCATTCTGTCCTTGTCAGGTTTATCCATCTCCTCTCTCTGTGACGCAACCTTTTGCTGCAAGACCACAGATTGAAGTTCCCCCATCATCTCTGGACTTGTATCAATCTCTTTACCGTTCCTGCCTCCGTTCAGCTCATCATCCCCACGCTGAGGACTAGAGATGGGGAAGTTCTGAAATGAGTCACGAGCTGGTGCCTGATGTGCTCCATCTAATCCCTTGCTTAATCCTTTAATACCAGAAAAGCTAGACGCTTGCTTACAAAGAGCATTCTCTCGAGTCCTCCAGGAAGGTGAGGTCACATATTCAGTGCCCTTAGCTGAACTCCTCTGATTAGGAGCTACAACTTTCCTGTTCAGCTGTGAATCAGTTACTACGGTTAGTGACTTCAACTGGTCTCCATCACCCTTATCTGGGCCAGGGTTTCTCTTTGGTAGTGAGTCAGCCATAACTCCTATAGAAATCTTTCGAGACTGACATGATGGATGAAAATTACTGCCGACGCTTCTGTAATCGCCCATCTTTCCCTGAGGATTAATCGTTTTTGTGAGAAACGAATGCAAAATAATCAAGGAAACAACATGTATAGAGAGATTTATTATGGATGAGAAGTATCATATTCAAAACTCAGAGAAATCAAAACAGAAATATATATATATATATATATATTCAACAAGAAGCTCTACGATAGAGAAACACAGCAAAAGACTGCGTTAGATAGATCTGGATATAACCAGATTACTGTTTCCAAATTGGAACCGATGAATGTAAATTGAATATAGCATGATTCGGATAAGGATTACTGCTAAACCGGTGCCGGATTTAGGAATCGAGACGATCTAAACGAAAGGTTGGCGTAGATCGCAGCGATTCTCCCAAGGTAACAACAAGCAGTGAATCGCAAAAGAAAACAGAGAAAATTAAGCGACGGTGTCAATAAGGAAGAATTGCTTACTCAAAACAAATCTCTCACGGCTTCCGGTGTAGAAGAAGTGAGCATAGGAAGATAGAAGATCGCCGGAAAACTAACCAATTTGAAAGAATGGCGGGCAAACTGAAATTATCTTTATGTCGCAAATGGTTTGACAAAACGCAACGCCTCTATCTGAATTGCGTTTGTGCGACGCTCCAAAGTGGACGATTTTAACCCTAGCCAAAACCACGTGTCATACACTGCGTCTGTGTTCCCTTCTTTTCTATAGATACTAGTTGCATACTCCCCGCGCAAGCGCGGAGCCGGAATCATTATGTTTGCGTATATTTTTTTTTGATTTAGTGGTTTAGTGGATTCTTCTAATGACACCAAATACTAATGAAATGGAAAGAATGTAGTAAGAGTGTAAAGTGAAAATATTATATATCTAATGTGTTAAATGTTATTTATATGCAAAGTAAGGTTTATAGGAACAGTTAGGTTATAATATAGTTTTTAGTATGTAAAAGTAGGTGTCTATTTTTTTTTTGCTGTAAATAGTTTTTATATCGTATGTCAAAACTTGATATAATTCTATATTTATAGTATTTATATTTTTATTAAACGATTTATCAATTTAAAAATAACCTTAATTAAGTTAATATTCATTGTTTAAGTTTCATTAGATAGGTTTTTATATATGGTTTTTTGTAAGTTTGGGTTTTGTTCATAAATGATGGGACATTTTTATCTACGGCATCATCGAGGAATCCATTCGCCGAAGTCTAGAGTCGGTGGTTAGGAATGTTTTCAATGAAATTATAGTAGTTATTAAAATGTAAGAGAAATTACATATTCATTTAATAAATAACGAAAAATACATAAATTTAGTTGTTTATTTTATTTTATTTTATTTCACATACATTTTTTTTGAAAATATATTAGGAATGAGTTAAATGTTATTTATATGCGAAGTAAGTTTATAGGAATAGCTATAATATAGTTTTTAGTGTGTAAAAGTAGGTGTTTTGTTTTTGCTGGAAATAGTTTTTATATCGTAGGTCAAAACTTGATATAATTCTATATTTATAGTATTTATATTTGTATTAAACGATTTATCAATTTGAAAATAACATTAATTAAGTTAACATTCATCGTTTAAGTTTCATTAGATAGGTTTTTATATATGTTTTTTGTAAGTTTGAGTTTTGTTCATAAATGATGTGACATTTTTATTTACGGCGTCATCGACTGTGGGAATCCATTCGCCGGAGTCTGAAATCGGTGGTGAGGAATGTTTTCAATGAAATTATAGTAGTTATTAAAATGTAAGAGAAATTACATATTCATTAAATAAATAACGAAAATAATTAATTTTTGTTGTTTTTTTATTTATCTCACATACAAATTTTTTGAAAATATATATTAGGAAATATGTGCAATGATTTCACTTTTTGAGCTCTTAATCTTTATTATTCAAGCCTCATTAAGCCATCCACGTAGGTAGCCGCGTGGGATTCACTTCTTTTTTTTTTGGTAGGTTCGTTTTTAGATTCATTTTTTATTATTTTTGGGTTGAACTATATTATAATAGGATAGTTTTAAGGCCCTTTAAGCCATCCGCGTAGGCAACCGCGTGAGACTTGCTTTTTTTTTTATTGTTTGTTTTTGCATCCATTTTTAACTATTTTTAGTTTGAACTCGTTAAGCTTTTTAGGGTTTATCCAACTATTTTGATCTTTAAAACAATAAGTCATAAAAAAACATAAAAACCTTACAAACAAAAAGCCCATATGATAATAACCCAAATAAAAAATCAAAAATAAATGATGGCTGCGTGTTTGAACCCATGATCTTGCATGCTTAATTAGACACCTTATACCACTTGGCTAAAGTGTATTTCATTGTTTGTAATCATCTTACCAAGACTATAAGTTTTTAAAAAATACCTACAGGACCCACAAAACTGCTGACGTGGCGCGTTGTGGAGCCTAGAAAGTGTACTATTATAATATAGATTCTCTTACACAGTAATAAACTTTTTAAAAATTAAATTATATTAAACCAAGCATTATAATAATTTAAGGTTTATATTATTAAATCTCTAATATAAACTTCAATATCATCTTCAAAACTATTTAAATTTTTTGAAAATGATATTAATTTAAACCAAGCTAGGTCTTTGTGATAATTGTTTTTTAAAATGAAATTTATTAATATTATATATTTTATTATTGAGAAATTTCCTTGGATAGTTTTTTTTTTAAATTTATTTTCAAAAAATAGTCATTAAAAAAGAAAATGACCAAAATAAATTTTTATTAAAAGGTAAATATGCATTTATACCTTTGGGTAATTAATCTAGATTTAGGGTTAGAGTTAAGAGGTGGAATTTAGGGTTTGGGATTTCCTTTTTTTAAATAAAAAATAAATATTAAAAATTTCAAAATAAAAAAATAAAAAAATTATTTTGATCATTTTATTTTTTGAGGACTATTTTTGGTTACAAAAACTTTAAAAAAGCTATTTGAGAGAAATTACCCTTTCTTATTTTGACTAATATTTCATATAAATTTAATTTAATTAAGCACAAAATTAAGAAAAAGTAAATTTGTTTATTTTAAATTATATTCAATACTATATATGTAATATATTTAAAATTTTAATCTTAGAATTTTTTATCTATTTATTCTAGTTAAATGTATTAAATGAACCTGTATAAAATTACTAAGAAAATTCATATAAAAATTGTATATTTATTATCAATTTATAACTAAACATATTTATAAATTTTTTCGATATCTAAAACCTTAATGATGGTTGCCACCAAGTCCCGATCTCTTCTTTTTGACCTATATCCAATAATTCATAAAGTGAGCCTTAATGCTTTTAACCACCAAATCCCATTCAAATTATTTATGTTGGAATATTTATTAATCAAGTCTTAATGGTTGTAGTCACCAAGTTCTGTTCAGATTCCACCTAACTAAAACCTATAAATATATCACTATTTTCGATTTAAAAAAAATAAATAATAGATTTACTTAACTAATCTATGATCCAAAATATAGAGAAAATGTGATAAATCTACACAAGGATCTACCTTTCAAATTTGTTTGAAGAATTCGATCTCATGTATTACAAGCCCCAAGACAAGAAGTTGTGTCAAATTTAGTGTTCGAGGTCAAATTTGGTTCATTCAAACAATCTAAGTGATATCACTCAAATTACCCTAAGGAGTGAATTACTCTCTCAAATAAGAAGTTCAGTTGTAGTACTTAGGGATCGAATCCACAAGGAACTAAGAAACACAAAAGATATAATCCTTAGTGATTATGCTAGGTTGATTAAGTTAAAAAGTAAATTGCAGTTGTGAGCAATGGTGAGTTGCTCAAGAGAATTGGTTTAGGTTTTAAACAATAAAAGAAAGTAGTTAGATTCAAGGTTGTTATTCAGATAATCAGGATTATAATGCTACAGATGTCTTAATAAGTTGCTTGTAAGATATTAAAGAACTTGAACTCTTAGATAAGTCTATTAGCAATCGCTATCTAGACTCGTCCATTGATCTGACTGCCGGAAATATTGACCGATGTTTTGACAGCGATATCGGACGATATAGGTTGCCGTCGATTGATTACTTTATAGGAGTATCGATCGATATAGCTTCAGATCGAATTGAATATGTGTTCCGCCTCGTCCCTAGAGGACCTCAGCTTATGCTAGATGATTTCAGGATGATGATTAACAAGTTAAATCATTCCATGATCATACTCTAGTTAGCTACTCTAGAGTAAGCATTAGGGTTCATCAGGATAATGAATATCACAACTCAACAATCCATAGTTTGGGGATAATCCCTCATAACTATTTGAATCCCAAATCTAACAAGTGATTCTACTCAGACATGGCTAAGTGATTCATAGCATCAAGGTAATAATAGAAATTCATAAGATTAGAAGATTGAACACTTGGTTCTTTTGAACAACAAATCTCTTTGTGTGTTCTTCTAAATCTATAACTCTATAACCTTTGATCAGAATAAGATGAAAAGAATACTTTTAGAAATCAAAGAACTATGAGTATTAAGAAGCATAAACAGAATAAAAGCAATCAAAGGCACTAAAAGCACACTTTGCCAAAACACATAGGCATAACTATAAATATGAGTTCAATTAGGTTAAAAACTCGTCAGGGGTAATCTTGTAATATTGAGAGAACTTGGGCTTCAAGTTGGCTGAGTCAAACTTGTTCTTCACACTCGATAACGATCGATGGTACAAGGCGTATATCGATCGATAGAGTATCTCGATTCATCATCTTCTATGGAAGAGTCGTCGATCGATTACACAGGATGTGTATCGATCGATATGTATCTCTGGATATCAACCTTGTTGTCTAATCTTCATAGTCATCTCGAGAAAACTCTCCTTTAAGCTCCATAAGGGCACCTAAATCATCACTTTACTCCAAAATGCTCCTGAACCTGAATAGTTGACATGTTGATCCACTTTAGCATCTTTAGTACTATCTGTAATCAATAACTCTAGAATGGTTCTAAAGAGCGGTTAGATAACAAATAAAAATTAAATAAAATCATAGTCCCTTTCTTGACCTTAATAAAAATAGTTTCTGAAAACAATTTTAATAACTCATAGTAAAAAAATATCAGTAAACCTCCCCCCCAGACTTAAATTACAATGTCCTCAGTGTAAAACAGTCGGAGTTAAGGCGAAAGAAAATAAATCACAAGGACTCAATTGAACAAGTAAGGATGATATACCTTACCGGACTGAATATCGATCGATGTGTTAGAAGATGCATCAATCGTCGCAGGTGATGTGGTGTTAATTGGTATTGACTGTGTCTCGTCGTCGATAGGATAGTAATCTTTCTCCTTGGATCTTTTTTTCTTTTTTATAAAAACCTGCAAAAATAAAAACGAAAAGAATTAATAAAGAACAGAAAACCAACATAAAAATTACCTTATAGTGGGTTGCCTTCCACTCAGCGCTTTGTTATAGTCATTTAGCTTGACTTTGGAGGTATGTTAAGCTAGTGTGTGGAAAAGCAGCTACTTGTTGGGAAACAAGTATCCACATCATCCCTCCTTATTCTGAACCAAGTAGCCA